CAGTAACTGGTAAATCGACTAACGGCATACTATTGGTTTGCGCTCGTTTTTGTGTCTTGAAGAATAAATGACTAAAGGAAAACAATTAGGTGCTAATGAAAAAAGCCGCTTTTAAATTCTTAATCAAAAAGCATATTTTTTTCGAACAGCACTACCATTAGAAACTTCGAGAAATCTCTATCTCAGGACTCCGGCGTATAGGATAACTTTTCTTCGCTACAAACAGTAGGAGATTAACTCGACGCGCTCTTTTATTTGACACTAACTTCAAGGTTCTATGTTAGAGAATGTGATCAGCAAACGTTTTACAAGTTAGGCCAAAATCGCCGGAAAATGACGAAAATGCATTTTTCAGCTGCGAGGGTAAAATGACTATAACCGTTTTTCTAACAAAGCTAGAGACTTGGGGTTTTCACCATTTGACTCAGCTCTATAATACGAGTTAGCTCTCATCACTGACGTAAAAGGTCGACCTTGTAAGATTATATTACAAAAATCACAAGATTTTCTTGACACAAGATCTCACAAAATCTTTCGATAAAAACTTATATGAACTGGCAAGAATTCATAAAATGTGATACATTCATCGAAACATTCAAGCTGATGTGACTGCTTTGTGCTATCATTCCCCTTTTATCGGTGTTTTCTCGCATAGGTAGGATTATATAGGGTTGCCAATCGAGGGGAACAAACAATTGAATGGAAATTGTTGCAAAAATGTCACCCCTTCCCCCTGTCGTTCGGGACCGCCTGGTATGATCTTGTTACATATAAGAAAACATAAGATCTTGTAAGACGTATTGCACCCAGGTACCAGTAAAATCTATCACGTCATATAATAAAGCGTTACAATAAATAGGTTTAGTAAGATAAACGATAAGCTGAACGACAACTCATCATTTAAGAAATTCTCTGTCCTTGTTTTTATATTGTTCAAGTTAGGGCCAGTACAGGTTCTCATCAGAGAATTACCCCCACAGAATGGAGACAGTATATATATTAGCATATAATTTATGTTAATTCTCAAGAAAAGCAATTTTCATAGGAGATCGGTTTTTCCATTCCGGTACTCCTGAATGACTTTTAAATAGAAAAAATTTTCTTGCCACTTACACTAAAAAGTATTTTCATTGTTTATTTCAATATTGAGAAGAAAAATGGAGAGAGCATACATAATTTATATCAAACAAGTGCTCATTAAAGAATACCTTGAAACGCTGATACAATAAAATTCTTCGTTTCTTATCTGCTGTTATCTCTTCTTTCCTACATCCATACACAGCACTTTATATATTCATTCAAACTTATTTCTCTCTTGTATAACAAAGTATAGTTGCTTCTTGTTCCGAATGTCTTCAAAACCATCGTTACACGTTTCATCTGAAATCGGTCAACTTCATCGTTTGATTATTCATAGTCCCGATAGTGGTCTAGGAAAAGTTGTTCCATCCAAGGCACAAGATTGGCTATTCGAAGATATTGTCCATTTGAATACAATGAGACGACAAGAATACGATTATTACATTAAATTGCTGTTGTATTTTCTGGATCGACAAAAAGTGCAAGGTCAACTGGATAAACTTGATGAAAATGTAACAAGGGATTTTTATAAACCTGGTCATCAGAATTATTTCAATTCAGATAAAGTTATTGAATTTCAATGTTTACTGTCTCATATATTAGAAGACGAAACTGTAAGAACAAAATTGGTCGCAAGTATTTGTGCTGTTGAACATCATCTATACGATACACAGCAAAAACTATTATCATTAAAATCTACTGAACTGGCCAATGTCTTGATATCGGGTAGTTATTCGACTGGTGACGAAATGTTATTTCCACCCATACCGAATCTATTATTTACACGAGATCTAGGAATAATGATCAATGATCATTTGTTGTTGAATAAACCTGCTAAACTAGCACGAACAAGAGAAGCTCTATTGTATCAATACATCGTCTTCAATCATCAATTGTTCGCGGATATTCGAGAGAAAATAATCGAATTACCCGAAAATGAACTTCATTTCCTGCTGCCTGAAAATGAGAAATCTTACAATCGAACAACATTGGAAGGTGGTGATCTGATGATTGTTGCTCCAAATCATTTGCTTATCGGTGTTAGCGAACGAACAACGATTTATGCTGCTCAGTTGCTGATTCAAGTTTTATTTGAAAAACAAATTGTGAATAAAATAACACTGCTAAAAATTCCCTATAAACGTGATTGTATGCACATAGACACAGTGTTTACACAAGTGAAACGAAATGTCTGGGTTTTATACCATAAATTAGCTCGTAAAGTGAATAAGCGATATGATGAACAAATCGATCCGGTAATGAGTCGTCTAATGCCAAAAGTGGATGGTGATGATGTTAAATTGATACAATTTCGTCAAGGAAAAGAAACAAAACCGCATGAAATTGAAAATCTTGAAGATTTGTTGACCGAAGTGAGTTGTGAAGATCTAGGATGTTCAAAAGAGTCGGTAAAATTCATATATTCTGGTGATAATGAATTTCCATATGGTGCAAGAGAACAATGGACCGATTCGTGTAACCTCTTAGCACTGAAAGAAGGTGTTGTGATTGGATATGATCGAAATGATAAAACTGTAGAGGCATTTAAACACGCAGGATTTAACGTGGTAAAAGCGACTGACCTTTTAAAACAGTTTGAGTCAAAAGAAAGAGAACCAGAAACATTGATAGATACATTAATTCTGTTACCATCGAGTGAGTTGTCACGTGCGAGAGGCGGCTCACATTGTATGAGTTTGCCGTTATTAAGAGCAAATATTGAAAAATAAACGATTTTTCAAACTTTATTATCATATAGAGATGCTTAATGGACCCCATTGGTACGTTTAATCTGCTAAATTGTCATTGATTTATTTGCTATGCTTTAAAATAGATCGTTTCGTTCAAAATTTATTTAATCACTTCGTCAGTATTAAGTTTAATTAAATTTAAGAGACTAAATATTACAACTAATCAAACATCAATTGATTGCGATATTCCTTATAGGATCGGAAAATGAAGATGTAAAGTACAACGATCTTCAATCGTATACCAGACCAGATGAGTGTACAAATACATAAAAGAGTTTTGAGCTTTAGACTGAGGAGAAAGTTCAAGAAAAATAATTAAAACTCCTACTAATCCTGCCAAAAACTTTTCCAAACAAGTGTTCAGTGTAATCAGTTCTCCCCTAATCCTCTCCACTAATGGGTTCAACATTCGAAGAGTTGTATTTAAATATCATTAATATCTTTTCACATAATGCTGAAACCAACTGATATATACCAGTCTGACTGATTGTATTTCATAATATTGTTCTCGCATCCATTTGTATATTCGAAAATAGGCTGAAGAATATGTGCTGTACAATATGTATGTATAGTGCAGCATACAGTAGGAGAGTGATTGACATATTAACAATGAGAGAGAGATATTGAACATATACAAGGAGAGAGCGAACCAATATGAATAGAGAAAAGAGGGAGAGAGAAAGTGAATGGAGAGACTGAATGAGTATGAATATATTATATAATTGGTGCAAAGAGAGTGAAAGGAACAGTCATTGTATTTTCGTTACAATGGTGAATGTTTTAGAAGAAGTAATCGAAGGTGTACATCGACAACATAAACATCAGCGTGGGGAATATTTTCGGTTACAAAATATACTAGGTAGAATAAAATTAATTTTGTCAATATATATCTCAATATTTACCTCGAAGCTCCACTGGATCCTCTTTTATTCGATCCACATTACTTTGACTTTTCACTTTTTGATTGTTTTTTTATCGATTATTGGTTGTATGATGAGTAAACTGATTATTATTGTGATTTTATTATTTTGTAACGGTGTTACGTCAAGTCGCAGCCAACTAAAAGATGCTACCAATCCATCATCTGTTGCTGGACTAACTCAGGCTCGTGAAGGAACTGTGGACGGTTATGGTAGTGTTCGTTTTTTAGTAGAAAAGACAAATCAAGTAATTTATGTTGAAACTACATTAATTGTTCCTCCTATGCAAGCTCATAAAGGTACACTATTTGTATGGCCTGGTTTACAACCTGGAGGGGCCAATTTTAAACCAATTGATAATGGCGTATTACAACCTGTATTAACCTGGGGTCCGTCGTGTGCTCCAGGTATTCAACCTCCAAATTATTCTAGTTGGTGGGTCTCTGCACAATATGTCAACACTGTTGGAAGTTTTAAAGGTTATACTGGTTGTAAGGGTGGTCGAGTTATGACCGTGAATCCGGGCGATCAATTGTTTATGCAATTTAAATTAAATGGTACTATTTGGACACAAACTGTAACGAATCTTCGTACTAATCGGGCAGTGAAATTTAGTATTGGTCTGCTTGGACAAGCACAAAATTATGTATACTTCATAATTGAGCAATATGCTTCTACATTCGTGGATGATGCGGTGTATCTGAATTCGAAATGGAAATTTGCTCAACCAAGTAATCAAGGATGTACATTAGCCTTTCGTGGAATAAAAGATTTTGTATCTACACCACAATTGTCGACTGATCGATTGTCATGTTCTGTAGTGAAAATAATACAACGTGCAAAAGAAAATCCACAATCAAGTTTTTAGAGGAAAATATCTGATGTTCTTTGATCCTTTTTTTTTGTGAAAGTGATTTATTTTCAATTTTTTTCTCATGACAATTTACTTGCTGATGTTTTAATTCAAATACATTGGTCACTATTTTGCGAAGTGATATTTGAAAACACATACCGTCCATTCTTTAAAGAAACATACTTTTTTACTAATCTGGATGAGAACTAATGGGTTTTTATATTGGAGTTATTCGACACACAATAATGTTGCAGCATGTACGAAGATCATACCGCACCACAGAATTGAGACATAAGGAACCAACTTGTTATGAACAACTTGGTACACTATGGCGTTGTTCAAGAGTATAAATCTTTTGTATAGACTAAGACTAAATGAATCGAAAAATGGAGTACCAGAAAATAAAAAACAGAGATGAGCAAAAGCTATAAAAAAAATCATTTTAAAAACTGTGACACTATATCTGTGATAAACGCAAATCTTTTATAAATAACTTTTGAACAAAAAGAGATGAACATCTGTGGTTCTCACTAATCGATGGCCCAGACCTGACCGCATATTCTTACGAAAAAACAAGTTTAGAAATCTTTTGTGTAAATGAGTTTTAGAAGGATCTTTGGAAAATAAGTCTTTATCTCAAAAACTTCAAACAGACAAATATTTCTTATTTTACATGGCTCGTTTACATTTCACAGCCGGACTGCTTATAACTTTTGATGCACATGTGTATTAATTATACCGTTAGTGTTATAGTACAAATGTATGATGAGAAATTTTAAAAAAGTTTTTTTCTCATCGTTTTCGCAAGGGTCTGTAGAAATCGTGCGCCTGCGGATTTGGGTTGCCACTTTGTCAGCATTATCGATTAGGGGATGGCATACCACCCCCTCGTTTGGATACAGTTACTAAAAAATTTTGACTTATTCAAATTTTTTAAGAAATTAGAGTAAAAGTAGAGAAACTGCCTTTTATGCCCCTGAGTAAGAGATTTTCTCCAGCTTCTGAGTAACTCAGTCAGAAAAACTTTTAGTCAAAAAATGCGTTACTGAATGAAAAACTTTAGTTACTCAGCAGGCTTGCCCTCCCCTTCTTAATTCTTAAAAATTCTTAATGATAAATAGATTACGGCGTATCTAATGGACATAGAATCAATGTTTTGTGAGAATTTTCAGTTGGTTTCGAGGGGATCTTCAGAACTTTATTATGATAAACATTGTGACTTTAGCTAAAACAAAACACTTTTATGGATAATCAACTGCGATGCTTTCAACTATTAGATAATTGAGGTTTTTTGAAAACTTTTAAAAGACTCTCATAAAATCTTTTTGGATTTATTGATGTTTAAAACTAAAAGAAACGATTTATATACAATATTTATATACTTATCGAGTATGATAAATTTATGACCTTTGTTTGTGCTTGGACGGCAAAAAAATTTCTGCAGATCCCTTGCGAACTCCGAACATATGTTCATTGAATGTGTCATAGTCGATTACCTATGAATGCACTTCAAACTTCAAAACTTCTGTGATGCACATACATCCCTTTTATTCCAGTACCATTAACACATAGTTTCTCATGCATACAATTGCATTAATTTTTGTATGATAGATAAACGTTTCTAGTTTTTCCATGCATCGTTCAATTGTGAAAAAATAATGTTTAAAATTGTGTCTCTGATGCGCCACCAAACCAGCCAACCACGATGTTAAATTTGAGATAATCTAGTTCAATACTGTCTTAAGCCCGCCCCCTCGGTAACCAAATTTTTTTTTGGCACGGAAGGTTTCTTAGAAATTATGATTTCTATAAAAAATGGAAACATAATTTGAAAATCGGACTCTGTCAACTCCTAGCTATACGTGTTATCTACAAATCAAAAAAAAATTTATTTCTCCGATGTATCGCTACCGAGAATTCCTGGCTGTGGCGAAAGCCCTGAAGCTTAAAAACAATCTTAAGAAAAACGCAAAATAAGTTTGATTCTATTAAATGTGGTTACTTAAAAACTGTTTAAGTGTTAAATAATTCGTTGATATTTGCTGTAGGTTATCGGTCATGGCGGATCTAATGAACATGTGCGGCACATGCAATACAAGTGCAAAAAAAACATTTTTTGCTATAGGGCTTCTGAAAAACTCGCTCAAAACCTATTCTATCGACACAAAAATTATGTCATTAGAAAGTAGACACTTCGGGCTATTCAACTATGTGCTTCTCTCGAAGTTGATGTTTCTGATGAAAATCGGCATTTCTGATCCGGGGAGGGGGAGGGCTTAAATTAAACACTCCAATTGCAAAAGATTATTGAAAATATCGTAACATCTTGTTGTTATTGATGATATGATGATTGATCATTTTGTTGTTGAAAATTAGGATAAGTGAATGCGTCTATAAATTGTAAATCATCACATATATTTGATTCCTCAACAGGTAATGGGAATTCAAATGGCATTGATAAACTAACATGAGATCGTAGGTTTTAAACATTAACCGTTCATTTATAGAATTATTTGTATTATCTAAAAGCTAAAGCGAGAGTCAAACTGATTATTTTTTATGAAGTTAAGAAAGACTATAGCTGATCACTACAAAACTAAATCTATGTGGCATCAAAAACAGACTACATCTGGCCAGATTTATATGGTTAGTGTTTTGATACATAGTCTTTTATCTCTATGAGCATTACCTATTAGTACTTTAATATATTATCGCACTGTTTTAGCTCTATTAATATTCATCTATCACTATACAAAAACAAAAAAATACACACTACACATGTTTCTCTTCGTCTTCTTGTTGTTGCTGTTTATCAAATAACTGTTGGATCTGTTTTGTTGCTGATGGATACAGATAATCGGGATCTTCAATTTCTCTCAATTCATCATCGGGATATGTTCGTAATATTCGATCTAACGGTTTATTTGTATACGGTGTCCATATACCTTGTGTGGAAGGTGAATCAGAATGCATCTGTTTCAAATATCTGACTGTTGAATCGCCTTGTTGTGTTAGCAAATAATGTACCCACCAATTTACCTGTTGACGTGAACAACTTGTTATTTTTAAATTTTGTTCACAACCATTTAAATATTCGGCTGAAATAGATAAAAAATCCGAAAAACTTTTTATTTTCTACTCGCCTTGCCTCTTTACATCAAGCTATTCAATAACTTACCAGTTAACGTTGGTGTTCGATGTCGACGTGGTTGTAAATAAATAGCTACCATTGGATATTTCTTAGCAAATGTAACAAGATCATGTTCAATATAATCACGCACACCAAACGACGTTCGAAATTCTTTGCAAAATTTGATTGTTAAACGTTGTAATTGACAAACATAACGACCAAGACCATTTTGTAAATTTGATTTAACATATTTAGCGGGCGTTATCTCTTCAAAATTGTGCCATTGTCTTAATGATAAGAGTGATGAGGAAATACATGATGGTTTTAATAACTGAGAAATTGTTGAAGAACGAATTGAAATTATAAGAACATTCATTATTCAATCTAGAAAGAAGCAAAGATAACCATTGATGCTCCAAGAAAACATTGTACTAAGTTAAACGTATACAAAGTGAAGACGTTTTATCCTATACTTGATCATCGTCTTTTCATTCATAAACTATTGATATATTCTAATTCAGAGACCATAGTTGATAATCACTACATTATTCATATTACACTTTACACGGTGCATTTAATAAAACTGTCACAGCATATTATCAAAATTCAGACAGTCAGTTAAAGAAGAAGCTGTTAATCACATATAACAGAACTATCTTTTCTATCAATACAAACACAAGAATAATCATCTGTGATATATTTTGCTCTTGAAAGATTTAACAATAAGAATCTAATGAAAACAACAACAAAACAGTAAAAAAGCAACTGGACATTATTATTATTATTGATTTTTTTCTGTAACAATCGAATTTTTAGTTGTTGTTGTTAATTTTTCCATAAGAACTTTCGCTCCAGCAAATGATTGTCGTTTAATTGTATCAAGAGTAGGTTGAAGTAATTCACGAAGATGTTCTGTTTCATTTTTAACACCATGTTCAAGCATCCTTTGGAGAAAAAAAATGGATACAAGATTAAAGAGAGAGAAAAGGCAAACAATTCAAAATAACTTACATAACAAAAATAAAACATCCACGATTACACAATACCCATGAATGAAGTGTATCAGAAGAGACATTGTCCAAGATAGATGATATCAGAGCTAAAGAGAACGTAGATATACTTGTTCGTATAAAACGCGGCAAGACAAAAGTAAAAGCTGCGAATAAGAGAGCTCAGTTACTTAGAACTATGTGGTATAAAACTTAAACTTGTAAACTTTTATATTAAAATTCGATGAGATCTCAAAAAAGTAACTGTTTCTTGCTCGTAATTTTTTTTTAAATAATTTGTTAAACAGGATAAGTTTCTTACATGTATTTCCGGTATTTCGTGTTCGTTTTTCATCCGCTGTAATTAATTGTCTTAATACATTATGGGCTACATGATGTTCAATTAGATTTTGTTCATTATTTGCTTCCATTGATGAATTTTGTAATGTTTCACTTAACGACTTATAAAATAAAGTCATATCATCTAAATACAGGAAAAAATAATCTATTTATTCATATGAGGAAGAGTAGGGTTATGAACGACACTTACCATTTACTTTTTCTAATGTTTCAGCCATCATCAATCCTTTATAGCCATCTTTCAAACATGTAAACATATTTTTCGGATAATAATTCAAATAAAATTTCTTACAATAGTCAAACAATTCTTGTTGACGAATCACAGCATCTTTTTTACTATAAAGAAACAGTAAAATTAATAAAACAAACGAATGGAAAAATAAATAGTACAATACTATGGTTAAATGGATGAGATTCATTAAAGAGAATTGATTGAGTGATACTGATCTTCTCACATAGTACTCAGTGAGAAGAAAAGATATAAATGCTCCAAATGGAAACATAAATGATCGATTATTGTGTATCTCATGGCAAGATTTGTTCTACGATATAGATGAAAGAAGGTGTTCGAAACATATTTTAGAAAAATTAGATAATTTTAGAGCTCAAAGTCAATTCTAAATCACATAAAAATTTAGTAGTTATTTTCACTCGTTCTGAATAATAAAACCGCTAAGAAAAATAAAAAACTGACGTTTTCGCTTTGTTGAATCTCCTATGACTGTCCAGCACTTTATAACGTTGAACAATACGTGTTTCAAGATTTTCAGCGTACTAAATATTAAACACACACATATGATAAAAAAATTTGTCTAAAATTGCCTAATGTTTCAATCCGTTCTTTCGTTTATATCATAGAACGCAAATTTTATGAGATACACAATGATCGATCACTTATGTTCCAAAATACCTTGTCGTTAATGTATCGGCTGTTTTTAGTAATTTAATTAAATCATAATTAAAATGTCTCGTATTTCGTGGTGATACTAAATACATCAAAACTTTTTTCCCATGTGGATCGTCAATTAATTCATCAAAATTCGACATTAATTCCTACTCAAACAAATGTACAATTAATATTAAGTATACTCTATTATTATTGTCAATTACTTGTAAAATAATCTTGCTAACTAGTTTTGTATCATCCACGCAATCAAATATAGCTAATAAAAACGGATAACCATGTTCTTCTTTAGCAATTTTAACAACAAATGTTTTCAAACTTTTTATCAATAATTTACGATCCTAGAAGATAAAAATACATTTTTATCACTGTAAAAAAAACATTTTAATATAAAATTTGTAAAATTGAATGTACACGTACTTTAACCGTTCCATACCAAACACAATACATTGCTACACGTCCACCATCGCGACTGTGTATCATTTTGATTAGTCTTTCTTTCACGTTATCGATCATTTCCTAGAACAAAGAAATGAAATAAAGTATTCACAGCTGAAAGAAAGAATAAAAATAGTCAGAAATGACAATAAAAGTCACACACTTGAAATATATTTTAAAAAAATTGAATACATTTTGATAACTCAACTAACTATTTAAATGATACATGTAGAAAAATTGCTCATACTTACTGTTCTTCCACTTTCATTTGCAAATCTCATATATTCATGCAAAACTCGATGAATAATTGAACCATTCAATAAATCTCTAAAAAAAGGATATTAGTTTTTTAGTGATTTATTAGAATCAAATATCATTACTTTTCAACACATGGTGTTATATATTCTTTGAGATGTTCTAAAATGGATGCTCGTTGAATTTCATTTTTCTTCTCAAATAATTGTTCAATATTCTTTTCATCAGTTGCCTAACAATAAAAAGATCAACATAAGTACAGAACAACGACTTTCATGAATTAATAATCTTAGAAAAGATATTTTATGCTCACTCAAATTATGTGAAGCAAGGATTTAGTATAAAAATGAACAATACATACCTTAACAATACAATATTCTCTTCCATAAAATTCTTGTACAAGTTGAAATCGTTCAAATGCTGAACATACATCATTGTAACAATGTTCTAATACACGACAACCAATCTAAATAGAAATAGATGATCAAAGTCATTTTTTAATTTTCTATTTGTTTTACACTTACTGTATGTCTCGCCAATTTACAAACATGACGATAAAAAGATTTCACTATATGTTGTTTTTGTTCAACAGTTCTAAATTAAATTAATCACTATTAAATAAACAGAGATTTGATTAGTAGTATATGATTTACCCATAAGTTAATAATTTAATGATTAAATGATGTGCATAAAGCGATTTTGACATTAGAGGTATATCATCTTGAAATAAAAAAATAAAACAACCATCAAATACTCTTATTATATTTATATATTATTTACTATTTGATTTATTTCTATTCTTATTTACTTTTAATTTGTTCAAATATATAGGATTTTTGTTGTTCATTTCCAAATTGTACGAGACATTCTAATACTCGTGTTGTATCGTGTGCCATTGATAAAAATTTAACATTCCCTTCAATTAATTTCATTAATTCTGCACATAATTTTTGTTTTGTTTCAGTTGTTGTGTCTTCTTTTCTTAATAATTCCCAAATCTTTTTTGATCGTTCAGCCATATCATACAATGGACCGCGTCTCAATTTTTGTCGTTCTTTTAAACGTTCACGAAATGTTGTCGAGTCTTTATCTTGTACAATGTTAATATGTTTTTTCTTTTTTCTTAGTTGTCTTACTTCCATTTGTTTTTGTTTTGTTTTTAATTGTTTTTTAATCTGTTTTACATTGTCAAGGAGTTCACGTCGCGATTCTTTACTTTTAATCAGCTGTTTTTTAGCTTGAACTTGAGTGATTTTTTCATCAGCACGTGATTTTAACGATGACGATAATTGATCAAAATCGAGTGGAGCATCCTAAAGATTAATTTAGAATTTAGAGCTTTGAACTGTATTTCTTGCAACATGTCTCTTACCGTTTTTGTGCTTCCATTTAGTTTTTTCTTTTTTTTCTTGATTTCTTCTAATGGTGACGATTCTGTTTTCTTTTTCTTCTTTGGTAATGAAGACAATGCTGTTATCGATCCATTACTTGTATCGGAAAAACGAACTTTTTTCTTTTTTATTGGTTCTATATCATTGACATCAGTCACAGTTGCTTTACGTTTTTTATTTCCGGATGTTACGCCCGATGTTTTTTCTGTCTTAATTTTCATCTAAAACAAGCAAAATAATGCATAAGGATCTAAACAAACAAATTGATTACTGCTTTGTAGATGATTCAGTAAGATGAGTAAAAACTCACAATAAAAATAATTTATATAAGAAAATGACAAATAATTCTAAGGAAGAGAGAGAAAACATGATAAATTCTACAGTTTTAACTACAAAACACTCTTTTTAAAAAAAGATGAAAAACTAGCATGAAGCAATGTTATAAATAAAAAAACACAAGGTTACAACACGTATACAATCTATCATTCCAATTATATGTGCCCTTCTTGCAATTATAATATTCCAGTAGATTACACAATCACTATAGATTCTTAAATTTTTGCGTTATTTGAATTACCCAGCATTTTGCGTAAGGGTATGGTCACAACTTTTCACTATAAATCAAGAAAATAATTTCTTTATTACTTTTCTTTCACATTTCGTTTGTTCACCTTTACTTGTATCCATCTTATGTTAATTCTTCTGTTGGTAGTTTTACTTTTATATCACTGATTATCAATCGAAAAACAATCTGGCTCTATCGATCCGGCATGTTGATATAAATTCAACGCTTAATAACTAATTTTCAGTTTTTATCTACACTTGATTATCCATCATGAATCTTTCCAGAAAAAGATGCGGCTGATCGCACACTATTTTCATCTTCACACTTTTCGTACAAATCAGTTAAACAATTTTGTGATACGATATCGAAATTGAAATGTGGAGAATCATAATACGGCATTATGCGTTCATAACTTTATTTACCTACAACATTAGAACCTCTTCCAGTACTCACTCTATAGGCCGAATTAGAAGTAAAGGCTTTACTTTTTAATTGTTTCAATAGGTATAGGATGGGACTACTGACAGTAAAAACAAGTCGTGCATAACGCTTCGTGACACTCGCAGTGCATTTCTTTGTTAGTTTTATACTTTTTTCTCGAATTAAATGATCACGAACTTTAGGATTGTTCAACGGCAAAAACACTAGCATAGTGATTGTTGTTTTTTTATGACAACTAACAATGTTTTGACTTGATGGTGGTTGAAGCAAATACTAATAAATGTTGAATTATTATAACTAGAACAAGAAATGAAGAGAGACTGAGTTAGAAGATACATAAAAAACAGTGGTCCTTTTGTTGTCCTCTTTAAACAGAAGGGTGAAAAAAACAATGCAATAAAGTGATAAAGAATGGTACCATACCAATGGTACAGAATCTACCCATAAGAACAAAAACTTTTCTCCGAAAGACAAATTTCTAAGCTCCTCAGTAGTGTCGAAATATTTAGTTTTGCAGTTATTTTTTTAAAGTTTTTCTGAAAAGATTTCCTCGAATTACAATATTTTCCCCCGACGGCCGTCGGAGCAAACCGGTATATTCTGAACCTCTGGAATATACACATTCCAAAGGGCAGCAATATAAAAACCACTCTGGGGCCTGTTTCTTAAAAAAACTTAAGTAGAAAATCTTACTTAAGTCAAAAAAGACAAAGACTTTTTTGGACTTAAGTAAGATTTTCTACTTAAGTTTTTTTAAGAAACAGGCCCCTGGTATATACTGGTTATATTCTTTGAAAATTCAAGTTTATAGTTGCTAAAAAAAGTATTGTGAACCTGTACTCTTTACAGTTACGATGTTTCTCTGCCGTAAAACATAAATATATCATTACTTTTGTACATGTCTGCTGCTTTTTAAACCTTCGTATATTTTAAAGTTTAAAATTAGTAGAAGATTTGGCCGGAGATGATCTTCATTTAATATACTTTATTAGAAAAAACTGTCGCCTTATGTCTGTCCCCCTACAAAACTTTTTTATCCGTCTTATATAAAATATAGACATGGCAGCCCTAAAACTAAGCAAAAAATAATGTACCAACATGGATCCTTATTATACCAACACATATAACTCTTGGGAAGTACACACCAATCGTCTGATTTTCTCGCTAACGATAATTACTTGTGTAAATGCGCGACATCTCCTGTGCACTCTATACAAGTAATTTAAAAAAGCACTCGGATTTCTTTATAATACATACAAGATTCATTCTGATGTTAATTAATTTGAATGACTCAATCTGTATAGTGTTTCTTATCTCTTCTTGGCTGTTTGAGCAATCCGTTGATAGAGTTAGTAGTTCTATGTCATCGTATTGCTAGTATCACTTCTTGTTGTCAAGATATAATTCCCATATAAGGAAAATCGATTGCAAGTCGGCATTGTTTTCTCTGCATCGGTAGTAATAGAGCAGAATATATCTATTGCGGACAAGAACAATTGTATCCTTTATCACCACAGAGAACAACGAAGTGTTTTTACTCATAAGATAAGGACACCTAATATTACTGGTATAATCAGGAAGGATTGTGATCATACGCATTGGTTAAAGAAAATTAGTTATCTGGAGACGATAAATCTGTGTTATTCAAGAAGATCTCTAATAATGCGACATAGCATATGTAATGTTTCGATGATAAATGTAGTCTGGGATTACTTTTATACGAATATCGAATATAGTCATCTGAGATAATTACAATCAGCTCCCAAATTTTTATAGTGTGCTGAATGACTCATCAAAAATTCATTACGGTTAATGACTTTATCTCAGGATTAATGAATTCAAGAAAATTTTTTACATCAATCAATAGCAAACGGTTCCATCTATCTATATATGTAATACAGATTTTTTCGCTCAAAAATGGCCTAACTAAATTTAAAATATTACGAAAATTTAGCTAGATAACCATAATCATCTCAAGCGATTCTGCTCATTTGCGAATGTAGACGCATGGCGTGAGGGTGACACATATAATATGTCTATTACAGTATGGGCATCACCATCAATAAGTTTGATTTTCAACATGGTTTATTTTTTTTCAAATAGATCGACTACTACCGACATAGTGTAGAATTCATACGATTTTGTTGTATACTTGTATACCTGACGAAAAAACCATAGCCACCTCAACTACATCACATAATGAAAGAGTCAAGTTAATCTTAAGTTAATTGAAAAGTTTTGTCTTTTTGAAAGATGGATTTGGTATCTAGAATTTGGTAGAGAAAGTTATCTTTTATCTGAGTTTATTTTTTGTTGAGTAGAATTTGGTTAACAAAAAGAACGCAACAAAAATGCAAGTGTCACAATTGATAACAGTAATTTATTAACAACTTATAAAAATACAAATATATACAAGTTCATTTATAGTTAGAAGCTTCAGCTGTGATAAATAATATGTCACACACTGGTTTAACATGTTCTGTGTGTTGTCAAACAAAACTCGTTCCATTTTTTGAAACTGATTGTTCACATATATTTCATGTTGATTGCATTAAAATAACCAACAATACTAATCCTAGATGTCCAATATGTGAGAATCATATTCATTCATTTGTAGTTGTTACAGAGGATACGTTTAACACAGTTAAAATCAGATCCGAAAGTACTGGTGGTAATACAACTAATTCGCTTGGTGAAACACTCGGTAATGCATTTAAATCATTTGGTAGTAAATTACGACCTAATTCACCACCATTATCAAAAAATGTAAGTCTAATTTATTAAAGAACTTAGTGAGATTTCCTTCTTTTTTCTTCAGAAACCATTTCGTGACTATGCAACAACAGCGGAAGCAGCTGTAAAAATTCAAACAAAACATCGTGGGCACAGACGAACGAAGTCTTAAATATAAAGTCACATATAAAATGAGAAAATTCTTAATAAACAACTCTTTTATGTGTCACTAATTTCGTTAAATAATATCGATTATTTTATAATAAGCTATAATCAACACTTTAGACATGTGCGTTGGAAAAGAAAAGAGTTTTTCATTTGTCCCATAAGGATAACTCGTTTTCAGTTCTGTACAAAATAAAAGGATATATTTTGAGTTCTTTGATTTTTCAAAAATCGAAGAACTCAATACGAGTGCTATATTCTATCTATCTATCTATCTATATATATAAAGAAGAAAGTTTGTTTGTTTGTTCTTTATGCATTTGGTCCCAGTAAGAGCCAATGCAACCAAACTTTGCATGGTACACCCTTTCGTTCAGGAGAAGGTCAAGATGGGATCGGCGCGACCGAGGGAGGGGTGGAAGGTGCTACCCCCCGCTTTTTCAAAAACCGCAGCAAATTTTCTCTGATTTTTCAAAAACTTTGAAGAATTTTCTCCGATTCTTTTCCAATTTCTCCGATGCGAGCTCTAGTGGGGAGAAGAACATCAGTTTCGAGGAGGATGGCAGTTTCTCGAGGAGCTGAGAGTCCCGAGCAGAGCAAAGACAAACTTGAGTTGACAAGCAACGTAAAAGACAAGCAACATCACAAGCGGCCGGGAGTCCAGAAGAAAGGCAGACTTGAGTTGACAATCAACGTACCAGACAAGCGGCTTCCAGAGCAGCACGCTGGCATGTGCTGCTCCGGTGGTAAGGTGAGTTTACCATCACTCCAGCCTCCTTCAGAACCACTAGAATCATTGATGTCAGGGACAACATCCAGGTGGAAGCGTTTTCTGGAAAACATCAGAAAGTACTACTTAGATGACCTCTTTTGGCTCGTCAAATGCGAGCCAGATTTCATGCCCACCTTCAAGGTTCAGCGTCAACTCTACCATCGTGTGGGATTCCTGTTGCCACTTTCGAATGAGAAGCATCAATTCCTTCAAATTTATTTCACGGGCGACGAACAACAAGAAGCAAAGCAGCGTTGCAGTTCCTGGGCAACGCCGGGTATTTCAGCTAGTACAGGATAAATGAAGAACTCATTTTACTTTGTTTAACAAGATCTTTGAAGATCAGATGAACTTACTTTTTTACAGTTCGCAACCCGATTCACACTCGAAGATATGATTCGATTCAGATTCAGGAATTAAACTACGAGTGCCACTAGAGTTTTTCAGGTGGAGTTCAGGTACAAAAAGTCGCATTAATGCGCATTAGTACTGAAAATATAGTTTTTCGATTTCATATGGACTAAGGCGTTATAAGCTTGACAGCTAATTAAAACTTCTACTAGATGAGAGAATTGAGATCCATATGTACCGTTTTGGTACAATTTATGATTCAGCTCATAGCGCCTGTTTATTTTACTCATAAAACTTTTACTTATAAAAATACGAAATTGAAGTTTCCGCCGGCAACTCAAATAATCTATCTATTTCGTATCAGCCAATTGTAAATTTCAACCGATAGTAATAACATTTGTTGGCTGTTCATCATAGTCATGTTCGGTGTCATTTTCGTTGGATTGTGTGAAGTCTTATAGTTACAGATCAAAATCAGCGATAGATAAAAGACGGGTGAGCCGACAAATAAAATCACCAGCATTATTAGCAATACAAAAATAAAATAAAAATACGAAATTAAAGTATCGACCTGTAACTGGAATAATCTATCTATTTCGTTATCGGCCAATTGTAAATTTCAACCGATAATAATAACAATAGGAAGGAGAACTGTAGGATCTTTATCACAGTAGATGAATCCCATAGTCTTTGAACAGCCTTTCGTGCTGTTGTCCATATCTCTTGAGTTACTAATTCACATATGTTCTTCAATTCGAAGTAAACCTTTCTCATACAACGTCACATTTCTGTGCCATTCGTTCACCAGGCGTAAATTGACATGAAGAATGAAGTGGGAACTGTCAATTTGCCAATATTTGATGAAATCACGTTGGCCGTATACACTAAAAGATTGATCGGTTGTTCGAGTAGATGAAACAAATCTGTCACATAAAACTGAAGACACATTTGTTGACTGTTCATCATAGACATGTTTGGTGTCATTGTTGTTGGATTGCGTGAAGTCTCATAGTTACAGATCAGAATCAGTAAAAGGCGAGTGAGCCAACAACTAAAATTACCAGCATTGCAACCATTGAATAGAAAAATCTGAAGTGAACAATGAAAAGTGATCTTGGCTCCAGAGTTGGAACCGGTCCGGACCGGTTGACTTTCTCAACCGGTCCGGTAGAGACCGGTATTTCGCCGGTTGAAAGTTTTGAAACATCTGCTCTTTTTACCCTATTTTTCGTCAAAAAAACTAAAATTTCACGTATTTTTCAGTTAGAATAATAAGACGAGGCTCAAGACAGATATTCTTTTCATCACTTGTTTTAAGGTTAAATATTATAGACTCGTTATTGTGAAGGTTCTCTCACATGTGCTCGCAAACTACGTCATTTGCGGGGGAAATTCTTTCTGAAAATCGATTTTCAAAAAACTTCACCAGGTTTCGCCAATATTTTACCGATTTTCGCCGGTTTGAGTTATAATTCCAACCCGCCCGTTTACCGGCCAGACCGTCCGATTACACTTTCAGATCGGCCGGATCAGACCGGTTTATCTTTTCTCAACCGGTTCCGGCTCTGCTTGGATCTCTGTCAACTGATCGTGAAATAGAGATCTAGCAGGAAGAGTGACTCACACACACTCTCTCTCTCTTTGATGACGATCTCTTGCAGTCAATAGAAAGAGATATCTGCTCTTCCTGGAGCATATTCGAATTCGACCTCGAAAACGTAACGCCTTGAACTAGATAGAAAATGAGTTTATACTAACTGTTCACTAACATAATCTCGCCTAATT